TTTGGTCTTCTTCCTGTTCAGGCTTTAAAAAAACATCAAAAGGAAAGGTGACAGTTACATCAGAGCTTGTTTATTACATGCGCCTTGGTTATTGCTGGGTTACAAGGCTCACTTGCCTTTTGGCTTTTGGAATTTGGGGGATCTGAGCCCCTTCAAGCATTGCAAAAGCAGGTTCTGTCAAAGGGAAGGGATTAAAATGCTTCTGTGGAAAGGGGAAGCAGCATTAGAGTGCAGATACTCTGGAGTCACAGTCTTATGGATGCTGTAGGGAATCATGGTCTGACCTTGGTGTGAGTGCTGCCTGGTACAAGTAGAGAGCAGAGCCGAGGGCAGTGCTTGCTGTATCCAGGCTATGCCACCTGGCAGGCAGGAGCTGCTGGCCCAGGGCAGGTGCACAGGCTTTTCCCAGGCTCCTGGCCCGTGGGCCCTGTGCTGGTACCTGGCACTGCTCCTGAGGTGAGGCAGGGTGTGAGCCATTCGACTTTGGCCCTCCTTCCCCAGTGCTTGGCACTGCTCTGGTGGGAGCTGGGAACAATTCATGGCTAAGTGGCTGTGAGTTCCTTTTTGGTTACATAAGTGAGGATTTTGTAACATGGCCCTCACTGCCTGTTGCTGAAGGGTTCGGGGCTTCAGGCTAAACTCACTCAAGGCAGATGCAGAGCTTGTTTCACTTCCAGCACCAACCTGAGGCAGAAATCAGCTTTATAATCAAGCTAATGATGTGCTCCCTGAGTAAAGTGCAATGTGAAAGCAGCTCAAACTGGAGCAGGGTGGAAAGCCCATGGAGTCCAAGCTAAGAGGACTTTGGATAATCTAGAGAGATCCATCCAGTGTGTTGGAGTGGATTTGAGGAGCTCTGTGTACCAAGGCTTAGGAAAATTGCTGGGGCTGACTACTGAAGCATCCTGGCTTTTTCCTCACTGGATTGGCTTCTTGATGTTGCCAGTTACGTTGGTTATTCTTATTGAAGGTTGTATTAGCATTAACTTAATCCTTAAAACTAGTCTTATCTCCTGGCCGGAGCAGGTTTTACCAGGAATGTGTTAGACTGGGGAGGGCTTTGTTGTCTAGGGGAGTGAATGTGAACCTCTCCAGCAGATGTCTTTGGAGTCGACAATTATAACTTGAAACATGTGCAGGGTTAAAAACACTTAAACCACTTGTGTTTGATAGTGCTTTAAAAGCTTCTTGAGCAGTTTGGTAACTCCCGGATTAAGGTGTGTGTTTTTTTTTCAACTAGCTCCTGGGAAGTAGAAGAACAGGAGGGGAGGGATGAGTGAGGCTGGTGACACTGGTTTGCCTATGTGTCCTGAGACCTTGCTGGCAGCTGGTGCCTTTCTTGACTTGGGAGGCACAGTTGGGGGTGGTCTGTGACATGAGCACACACTCTCCTCCTTCAAATGCTTTCCTGGAACCCCGGAGAAGAGGGGTGGTTTGTTGGGAGCTTAGGAGCACCATTCAGTCTGGTTTTGGAGCCTAAGCATCAGTTTGTTGTGTGATTTTTGTAGCTTTTAGGGGATCTCCTTCATGGATTTAGTGGTAGTAGCTTCATTCAACTTGGCCTTTGGGTAGGACACTTTGAACCTTGTTTTGTGCTGTGCTTCCGCTTCCTCATTTTTGCTGAGGGACTCATCAGTAGTTGAGATGGATCAGGTTAATGGTAGGATCTGCAGCAGTGGGCACAGCCCCAGGGGTGTTTTGCTGCAGGGGAGATGGCTGCAACTTTACATTCTGGAAAGCCAGTTCAGGGTGAGACAGTCCCTGGGAGCTGAGTAAGTTGCACTGGAATTAGATCTAGAGTCTGCTTGAGCCTTCACTTGTGAGTTCCTAAAGCAAAACCTGCATGTGCTTAAGGATCAGAAACTGTCTGGAGTTGGAGCTGCCTGTGGTTTTGGTGAAATATCAGTGTGGTCAAGATCAGACTTGATCATGGCTCAGCAAGACTTCATGGGTCCCAGGAAATCGAGCAGTTGGGATCTGATAGGTGCAGGTTTGTAGATGATACCAAACTATAACTGAATCCTCCATGTGTTAGGAGTTCCAGTTTTAGGGGAATTCTGGAGTCATTTGTGCTGAGTTATCCAAACCAGCTGGTTCTTAGTCTCCCTCAGCAGCAACATCTGGAAGCAAAGACTTTGCTGGGTCTGGTATTGTGCTCATAGCACCTTGGGAACTGCACAGGAGCCTGCAAAAGGCAGAGTAACCTCTGGGGCAGGTGCTTGGCTCCCTGCAGCAGCGTGGATGCTTCTCTCCCTGTGTGCCTGGATAGATGCAGCTCCATTCCATCCTTAAACTTGGCTTTGCAGGCCTGACAAGTGAGTAGTGGGAGTCCTGCAAGCAGCTGGAAGGGAATGGCATGTTAAAGGGATTATCCATGCCCTGCCAGGAAATCCAATGGTGTGTTTGCCTCTCCAGTGCACAGTTGGTGCCCGCACTCCAGAGTGATCTGGGAGGGTTGAACTTCCTTGTTGTCATCCAAGCTGTTTTTCTACACAATTTGGGAGGCTTTGAATTGGGAGCTGGTGCTAAACTTTATCACACACAAGGAGCTCACGCGTTGCTTTTTCCATAGGCTTTTAAATCTGTGATGTTTTCCTGTGAATTTGTAGAGCAGAACCTGAAATCCCTCCTTGTCCCTGAGACAAGTGGTACAAGTGGTTGTTGTAAGTCACCACTTTCCACTGGGATAACATCCAGGGGTTCAGAAAACCAAAGTATTCCTTTTAGCTGGAACTGAGGATACATGTTCCTTCTAGCTGGAGCTGAAGGTGTAGAGAATGAAAGAGCATTTTGATGAGGCTGCTACTATCTGAATTTCACTTGTGTCTGGGAGACTTACCTCGTGGTCCTGCTGTTGTTACATCCAGTTTGGGGAGGTGCATGTGGCAGTGGGATGTGGAGGGAATGTTGGGGCAGCTCTGGAGCTGTGTGTTCTGCCAGCTGGTGAATGTGTGCCCAAGCTCATGTTTGTAACTATTTCTCCTTTATAGCAGGGGATGTGCATGTTGTGTTCATAAATGTAATCCATGGTCCTGCATGGAAAAACATGGATTCTTACAGTTGTACCTTTTGAGTCTAGAATGTGCATCATACTGATGCATAAAATGGGATGAGATATTGATAAAACAGGAATAGAAGTGGTAAGGAGTATTTTTTTAATAAGTGTGTTTGGGTTTTTGAATATAATGGCATTAAATTGGCTTTTCCAAAAAATTAAATTCCAGTAGCTTTGGAAGTGGACCCTGTTCCATCCACCTTTAGGAGGAGTAGGTATGTGGCCGTTTTAAGTTCTCATGCCTGTTGTTGGCAATTTGTGCATGTGGAGACTTGTTTCATTCTTTGCAGCCATGACTGGACTGGCCCTGAGGGGAGGTGTGTGGCCTTTAGCTGCCAGTGGAGGTGTGTAAGTGGCTGTTCCTCTGCTGCCCTGATGGCTCAGGGTGTCTCCTCTTGCTAGTGCTGAAGCAACTCTGAAGGGCTTTATGTATTCAGAGGACACTTGGAGCTGCTTTCTCCACCTTCAGGGATCTTCAGCAGGTGCTCGGTGTGTGCTCCTGTCCCAGTCGATGCTGAACCACAAAGTGGAAGAAGCCCAGCAGGAGCACTAGGAAAGCTTTCATAGTCTGCTCCCAAGTCAGGAGGCTTCCAGCTGGGCTCTTCAGGAGTTGGGAGCAGCTGAGAGCAAAACCAAACCTCTGTGTCAGGGCATGTGAAGCTTTGTGTCTGCACTGCCAGGTTTCTAGGGGGCTGCGTCCAGAGGGGGAAACCCAGAGCTCTGCGATGGAAGGCAGCATTTGTGTGTTGTAACAGGAGAGGGTTTGGATAATGGTGTCCTCCCCATTCCTAGGAAGTAGAAGCTGAAACTCCCAGAGATCATTTGTTCCAGAGCTTAAACACTGCTTGTAAATAACAAAAGGCCATTAAGTGGCAAACATCCTCCATCCTTGCAGTCAGCTTGTCTAAGTCCTTGTCCTTAAATGTTTGGTCTGCCAAAAGCTTCAGATAAGGCTGGTATGGAGACTCCACTGTGGCTGGGAAGTGGAAAGCTGAACACACAACAGGCCGAGGACAGCATGGGAATGTTTCCTGAGCACTAGACTCAGTTGTAATCTGCCTGGTGTGTGTTCAGCTCTCTAGACTGAGCTAGCCCAGGAAAAGGTTAATGTGTGTGTGCCTGTCATGCAAAGCAGCTCAGTGGCTGAGGCAGAAATGCAACCGGTAAAGTTTGACTTGAAAATTTTAGTGTACTTGCACTTCCCACTGAACATGCACTTCCTGAGCAAATGGCTAATGTGAGGTACTGGTAACAGTAGATCTGATCTAGTCTGAAATAGCACTTCAAATCGAAACTTGGTATGGTGCAGCAGTGCTGGGAATTACTCAGCCTGTTCAGACTCACAATAGGATTTCTTCAGAGGAAAATTTGACTGGCACAGCTCCTGACAAGTGATGGAAGTTTCCATTCAGGCCTGTAGGTAGGGAAGGCCTTGTGTGTTACTCCATTTCCCCACCCACAGTCACTGGTGTGTACATGTGGAGATTGAACAAGCCCAGGTTATTGGAGCTGTGTGTGCTGCAGGGGTGACAAACTGGATCGCTGGGGCTGCTTGGGAGTTGTTACAACAGAGGCGATGATATAAGGCTGATACTGAGAGTTGTTGGATTGAGGCCATCTTAGCTCTGTGACCTGGAGATGGTAGTGGAAGATATAATACCTTGGTAATGCTTGGGAGCTCTTAAGTTGTGTTACCAGTGAAGGCAAACCCCACAGCCCCTGTGATTGACTGGGACTCAGGGCTGTGTGGGACCTGGACAGGTCCCCAAGACATGAGCCAAATGTCTCTCGTGAGGTTTAAGACACAGCTTTTCCTTTCTGGGGTCCTGGTTGTTAGTTCTGTGGTGCTGCCACAGTGCCACAAACAGCTTTGGAGCAATAACATGGTTGTTTCTGAAATGAAATGACACAAACTCTTCCTGTTTTTTTAGGAGTTGAATGATCTTTCAGTTCAGCAGGGCCTGTCGGGGATGACAGTAAGTATCCTGCAGTCAGCAAACAGCTGTGCTCTCCCACTTCTTGACTTGTGCTTCCAAAATATATGCCCAGTCCCTCAGCAAGAAGAGCCCTTCTGTTTCCCTTGGGTAGAGCACTAGATACTACTCCACATCTGAAATTTCTTGCCTTTTGTATCTCTTCACACCTTCCTGTTCAGCAGGGCCTGTCGGGGATGACAGTAAGTATCCTGCAGTCAGCAAACAGCTGTGCTCTCCCACTTCTTGACTTGTGCTTCCAAAATATATGCCCAGTCCCTCAGCAAGAAGAGCCCTTCTGTTTCCCTTGGGTAGAGCACTAGATACTACTCCACATCTGAAATTTCTTGCCTTTTGTATCTCTTCACACCTTCCTGATGTCACTCCTACTTCATTGATGCACAGCTTAAATTACATCTTTTGAATTGACTGGCCTTGAATTCTCACAGGGGATGGAGTTAGGAATCCTCAGTAGCTCTGTGGTCCAAGCAGCTGCCCACAGCTCTGTGAGCTTCTTGCATATGTAATCTAAGCTTTACGTGGTATAGTCGTGTGTTCCTGTAGGACTAAAACAATGTACTCCTGCTAATACAGTAAGGTCAGGGTTAACTCTTGTACACAGCAGTTAGTTAATGTTGTTTCTTATGAGGGTTACATGTAGTTCTTGTGGTTAAGAGGTTAAAATGTGATCAGAAGGAAAATGTTAGTAAATTACAGGTTGAATCACAAAGTAATGTTAATTGGTTTGGGGGGGAGGTTTTAAGTTTTAGGCAGGATTTCACTCAATTTGAAATTTTTTTTTGTGGTTTCTCAATAAGTAAAATTGAAATGTCTAAATCCTGCAGTTGTGACCGACTTGTGGCTTGACTGGGACATAGCTGGTAGGGATGAGGTAGGCAGTGCAGGTAGAGCACCATTAAATCATACAGTTCATGAGGAACTGGAGGGACAGGACAAGGGGGAATGGCTTCAAACTGGCAGAGTAGGGTTAGATTAGATATTAGGGGAAAATAT